GATTTTACCCTGCTGATATATTACTTGTTCAAACATTCCTATATCCAGCCAGAGCTTGAATACCATAGGACAACAGCAGTTATAAATGTTCCTTACCCACAGGGTTTTATCATAAATTTCAGTTTTGTACTTTTAATCCATCAAAATTCAGCATTTTATCCAGGCTTCTAGAGGTAGACGACACATCCAGTCAGGAACAACACCCACGTGAATTAATTAACAGTAAATCACATGTTTCACTAACTAATGTTCTAATAATGTTCTCACATAGAAACATTCATGCCCTGGTGATACAGGAACATGAAGGAAACCCTCCCCTTCATGAACACCAAGACAGACAGATTACTTGTGCTAAGGCTTTGTAATACTTTCAACATGAAGTCATCTCTCCAAATCACATCTGATTATTGTCAGAATTCTAATTATATTCTAATAATACAGGATGACCTATGTAAAATGAACTCCAACCGCTGAAAAGCTTTTAGCTCATTTTCCTGACACCTCCACACCCCACCCCAATTCTCACTTAAGGGTAGAGTTGACACCTTGAAAATTTCAATTCAACACTGAAGCAGGAGGTATCTCCTTCTGATAGCTGATAATCATCAGCTCCACGCACTAATCCTGATGAAAGTGTCACTAAAAGGCTGAGCATACTAGGCTTGGGATCTCCAGTGACAGTTTTTTTAAGCACCTGAGTTCTATAACAGTACAAACCTTTCTGACTGCTAAGGTGCCTGTTTAATTCCCTGCTCCTCCCTGGAAGTTTGGTGGTGGAAAACGGAGCACTGGCCTCAAGCATACACCACAAGACATTATATATTTTAAAGTAACAACTGTGAAGCTTCTTCAAGAGCATTTTCACATTGTGCTGCTGGCTGGTTAAGACATCACCCCACCACTCATGTATTCAAGCTGGAGAAAAATGAGCAAGGTCAGCTAAAGAATATGAAGCTTAACGTGTTTCCAGCTTAAATAATCCTGCACATTTATTTCTGCATGATGGTGCCTGTCGAGACTCCAGTCTTTATAAACAACATTTCATCTCAGATGAGATGAGAAATAAAGAGCTGGCTATATTGTCACGGTCCTCACCAATCAACTTTCGAACTGCCAAGGACTATATTTAAGGTATTGATTTCTTACAGGCTGCTATGTTCCCTAATTCTTTTCTAAAAAGCAGTGTGGCATTAAATCCCTTGAAAATACAGAATGGCAGTAAACACCTCACTCAGCAGAAACAAACCAAACCAAAGACCAAGCAAAAACACTTCCACAAAGCTTCCCCTTCATTTGAGTTGATTCTCTGAACTGTCTGTCAAATGCACTAGACTTGCTTCTCGTAGGAAATAATGTTTTAGCACCTATTCATAACTTTAAATAGCTGAAATACATTGGGAGACATGATGTCATGTATGTATGGCTGCAAAAGTTATTTATTTGCCAAGTAGTAAGGGATTTATTTCTGGACATCTTAACTACCTGCTAGAGAAGCCCATTATATTCACTTTTTTGCTGCAAATTGATAAAGAAAGAAAACCACGACCAACAAACTGAAACAAATAAAATCCATACACATCCTGTTCTGGAATACTTGTTCAAAATAATGAGCTATTCCCATAGAGGAGTTTACAGGTATGAAACAAGCCATAGGCTGCAATTTGCTGCATGACAAACCAATTACTGATATTAATGCCTGCCTGGAGAAAAGTTGTTTAACTATTGAGAATATAAAATTATTATTATTGGCAGTATGGGGTTTCTATGGCAACAAAAGCTACAAACAATAATGTATTTATATTTGTTGTTAGGGCAAAGCATAAGAGACTAAGAAACCAGTTTTGAAATACATTTTTAGCACAGTTTATCTGGGAACTACATTTGCCTCTAAGGGTACACAGGATACTTCAAAAGCACGTCCCCTTTGGCAATGCTGGAAGTCTAATAAGAAAAGCTGAAGATCTTTTCATTCAAAGCTTTTGTGAAAGGATCTTAGAGGGCTTTCATCTTCCTTTTTGCTTTCACAGAAAGAATAGGCCTAAATTTTGGTGTGTGACTAGTAGTGTTTGGATACTGACCTTCAGATATTTTGTAAGATATCATTTTTGAGATGTTTACTGCCTTATGCACCAAAAAATAATCTTTTTTTTTTTTTGTAAGGCACTTAAACCAGACACAAAATCACGGCACACAAAATAACCATGGGCCCTTTCTAAACATTTAGCTCTGTTCCCCAGCTTTTACCTATTCTGCTTGTTTCCCATTCCCTGTTACTCACCATCCCCTCTGACATTACTCTGAAAGTCTCTCCCTGCCACCCAAAGCAGACGTCCTCTACAGATAAGGATTTCATGTAACCCAGTCTTCATCCTGCTTAACTTCTTGCTTTTCCCCAGTCCTACCTGTAGCACTGACCAGCATTTCCCTTCGAATTCATCTTGTACACCTTTCTTTTTTTCAGATTCTAACATTTAGGAGCAAATATGGATCCAGCCAACACACTGCACAGAAATTCTGGATAAAGTGGGAAGTGGGATGGATAGCGAAGCTAAACTGTTTTGCTCCCTGAAGTTAAGGAATGCACAAATGTTTCTACTCAGATCTGCAGTAACTACTGTCATACAAGCACTCTTTTTTTCTTTACTTAATCTCTTTCCTGTTAAGAACCCCTGTAATTCAGGCTGTGTGCCCATTACAAACCACCACACTCAATTATGAGTTGTCGAGGACCAATAAATTTACAAAAGTACTTCTGAGTTGTGACAGAGTCCAGGAAACCTTTCTTCTGGCAACACAGACAATGAACAAAAGCTATCTGCCCCAGGACATTTTGCCAAGGAAAGACTAAAATAACAGTCCTGGCTGCAGACAGGGCGAGTGTAGCACTCTGTATAGCAGGACTACTACTCACTGAGCGTGGTCAGTGAGAGCCTGGAAAGGGAACACACCTCAGACAAATGGTAGGATATCAGGGAATGAAGCTCACCAAGAGTTTGCAGGGAAGTTAAAACATCAGTCACTTGATATCAGAAGAAGAACACTTCAATGGTTATGCTGTTACAGGAAGGAAAAGGGAAATACTGGCTACCAAAATGAGGATAAAAGAATCGACTGTCCCAGCTCACGCTTTCCACAATACACTTCATTTTCTCTTTCATTTTTACTCTTTACTAGCGGCCAAAGCTTTGTGTACATGGCAGAACTAAATCACTGCTGACAAATGGGTGATGCCCAATGTGATTTCCTTTGTCTACACTGGTAACAAGAGTCATACCCTGCTCCAGTTCAGTTGCACCCCTGGCTGTCAACAGCTGTCACCAGTGGTTCGATTTAGCTCATCAAGCAGAGCCCAAACAATTTGGAAAGAACAATTTAAGCCCACTGGGTCCCACCCAGCTCCTCCAGAACACACATGCAGAACAGCCAATGCAATTTAAAAATTATTAGCGAGATGGACACTAAAACCTCACAGATCTGGCAGAAGGATTGAAAGCATCTGAAGTTACTTACATGTTGTGATCAATTAAAAAAACACCCACATCGGACTTATCAGTTCCCTGCATTCCTGAGTTGCCATCACTTTGTCAGAGGAGCCTGTTATAAAGAAGCTAGTGAGAATATCAGTATCATAATTGTATTTATTTCAGATGAAAAATAAGCACAAGCTTTACAAACTGGAAGAAAACCACCACAGCTAATTTGAAAGGGACTCTGCCACTTGGCCTGCAGAAGGCGAGCCCAGTTAATGCAGATGGTACTCACGGAGTCTACAGTGACTTTAAATCATGTCAATATTCCCTCTCTCACTTTAAAAGCCAAAAGCATGACGGTCTGCTTGGGTTAATGCAGTGCACTGTCACTAGGCTGGCAGTTGAATCCCATTTCTGAGACTGTGTGATCTGAGTCACCGACATCTGCAAATATCTTTGTATCTTGTGTAATAGCTGGCCTCAGATCTCGATACACCAAAATAAAAAGGCCATTTTAATGGCTCCCATATTACTCTGGACTGAAAACTTCACGATGACAGCAGCTTCTCAAAACAGCCCATAAATCACATTTATTATTCATTTTGTCACGTGGGGTTTCCTTAACTCTTAAGCCAATAGAGCAACAACAAATCAAGGTCAGTGTTCATACTGCATGAGTAAAAATTAACCATGTCTTCAAATTTTTTTTTACTCTGAAAGGTATTTGGTCTCAAGAACGTTTGACACATGCAACATTGACCAATTCTTCTACACATCTGGGAGTATCTGAGGAAACACTCTCAAACAACATCTCCTCTCACACCAGCCTGTCTTGAGTTAAAAACAAACCAAAACAAAAACCTGTCAGCCATCCTACTGCTTTCAGCATCAGCAATCACATGTGAGGAGGACAGTTCAGTTGCAGGATGCTCATTCCAGGAATTAATTTAATCCCAAACAGTATCATTCAATATTTAAACAGACCAGTGATTTCCAAATGATGGCTGACTGGTAAAAGCAACAGCACAGGAAGACCTTTTTGCCATACAGATCAGAGACAAGACAGCACGTTATGGGCTTTGAAAACAAGTCTTGCTCTTCAAATCCACTGAAGTATAACCTTCTCCAGCCACAGATATTTAGATAACTGTTTCTTTCCTTTTATGAGAGCCTAACCATAGGACGTAATAAAATGTATACCATACAGATCTAAGTATGGGACGCTACCTTTAGAAACATCAGTAACCTTTCACTTCTTCAACAGCTCCTTCAACAGCAGCACTTGCCATACCAGAAGAACAGCCCCTGTTTATGGCCAGGAATCACAGGGCATAACCATTGAACACACAACCCAACAGCAACCACCCTGAGAACCTGGAAACGTCGCTCCAGGCGCACACGGATGAAGTTTCTCCGCAGAGGTTGCTTTGAAGCAGATTTGCTGCAGGTGACACGCAGCAGCCCAGGGCAAGCACTGCATTCCCTGAAAGCCCGAGCCCTTCCCCCCCACGAGGGCACACGGGGCAGTACCTCCTTGATGCGCTTGACGAGCGCGTTCTGATCGAAGGCGACGGCCTCTGCGCACTGGTGGAGATGGTCCTGGTAGCGCAGGCACAGCTGCAGCACCTGCTGCGGGTCCAGCTTCTCCAGCCTGGCGCTGGTGGGAGACGTCTGCCCGCTGAGGAGCCCTGCAGAGGAAAGGAAGGACCAGAATCGATCTGACTGTTCAGATTAGTTCAGGTGCAGTCCAAGAGACAACAGAGCAAACCCAGAAGAAAAAAATTTATGAGGGGCAGTGAGAAACTAATTCAGAGTAATTCATGGATGTTTCGGATTTATAGCAGTGCAAAGAACAGTTTGCCATACGGCCTAGCCCTCCTTGACAGAAACTAAACAGACTCTAAATGCAGGTCCATAATGCACATCAGCTTGGTTTTCAGTGATACGTGAGTCCTGTTTTTTCTCCTCCACAAGCAATCCTAAACTGTGAAAAATGAGCCCTCTCCCAATTTACGTATGCCAGAAGAGGAAGGAGTTGAGATCTGCATTTCCATAAGGGCACTGGACTCAAGCAATTTTCACAGAATCACACTGTTGAAACCAGAGCTCTAAAAATTCACTACTCCCCCAAAACAAACCTGAATAAAAAAATGATCCACCTGAAGTTAACTTATTGGGTGAAATGTCCGTATTTTGTCTACCTTGCCTTTTTTAAAGCTTCAGAACTCTTTCACCTTCTAAGATTCTTCTTTACCGCCTCAAAGACTAGCAATGAACTTCTCTGTTGGTTTGTTTAATATGGAATTAAGATCCTCACCTACTTGCATGACCAGGTTTCACAAAAAGGCATTGGACTTAGAAGTGGGACACTGGTAATGTCCAGAGGAGCAGAATTATGCAGATAAATTTCTCCTGCCCACTGATTGTTGCCTACATAGCTCATCTTGAGAACGTTTGCTGAGCTCAACCGTGCGTGTGCCACACTGACCACCTTCCCCACAGCTGCTGGAAAAAACGATGATGAGCTCTAAGGCCATCCTTTTTTTTTTTTTACTACTTCATTTCCTTCATTTCATTTTTCGTCATCGTTAGCACAACCCTTTTCTTGTTGGGACACCATCTGTAACAAACTGCACATGCACACAATATGCTCTTCCCAGAGCATCCAGCAAGCTGTGTAAACCGAATTCAGTGACTGCATGCACGTGCCCTTTAGGACTCCCATTTTACAGACCCACTGCAAACGTAAGCAAGCATCAAACTAAGCCATTAAAAAGCAATAAATGCCAGTTATTTGGATTGGAAAAGTTCTTCCAATTGGAAAAGTACCTCAGTGGGAAATGGAAAGTATTTACAGCAACTTCATCAGATACAAAGAAGTAGGTTTAACTTTTCATCGACACTCATCATCTTATTCTCTCAGGATGCTCAGATACCCTCTGCACAAAATCTCGTCTTAAGATGAAAAAAAGAAAAAAAGGTCATTTTGTTTTACTGACTTCTCCACTACAACTGTGCTGCCTCAGTCAAGAGGTCAGGAGAGGAGACAGACACTTCACCATTTAGTCTCAAACCCGTGTGTTAGCAACAGCCAAACTGTTTTTTATGTTCTGATAAGAATAATCTCAAACAAAATCTTGGGTTCAACAACATCAGTTGCAAATCTTTCAAGTCTACTTTCAGCTAAAGTAAAAAGCTTTGATGGGAATAAACCCACTGAAGGAATTAAGACTTTTTAAAACGTTTATGTTTTGTGTTCTAGTACTTCCTCATTTCATTAATTGTGATCTTCTATGATATTTTGTCAGGATGAATGTCCAAATAGTGTTGTCAGCTTTTAATACTCTGAATGTTCACACAGGAATGAAGAGTTCACCACACACCTGAGGCAGTTACCTTGTCTCAGCACTGATCAAATACGTGATGCTATCAACCAACTAATTTTCTTTTATAACTCATCTCTCACCAACTTCGGGAGGAAGAAGAAAAGGAAACGCTATTTAGGAGATTTAATTAATGCAAAGGATTAATGTTTAAAAGGGGCTTGTGAAAAACAGAGAGACTGGGAGTGACAGGGCAAGGGACAGTGGTTTTAAACTGGAAGAAACTGAGACCGAACATGAGGAAGACATTTTTACAGTGAGGGTGTTGAGGCACTGGAATAGAGAACTTGGATGCCCAGCCCCTGAAACTGTTCAAGGTAAGGCTGGATGGGGCTTTGAGCAACCTATCTAGTGAAAGATAGTGAAAGATGTTCCTGCCTGTGACAGGCTGGTTGGACCAGATGATCATCAAAGGCCCCTTCCAACCAAAACAGTTCTATGATTTTATTAAATCACTGTAATTATTTTTTTAGCAGATCAGGAGCTTTGCTTCAAAAGAGCAGATGGTAACAGTAAGTCAGCTTGAAACCTGATGCAAGAGCAAGTGCAAACACTCAAATCCCAGCACACCTCAGAGCAACTAACCACTGAGGTACTGCCTCCTCTTCATGGAGGGAAGGGTGTTCCTGGGATTTCTTCTGGGTGATTATCAATCCCTGGCCCCCAAGAGCACAGCTCTGCTCTTCAATGAAAAGAAAACAGCACCTAAAGCTTTCATTTCTTGTCCTTCTTCCCATCTTAAGTGTCTTTCTTCCTACCTTACGTGTCTGCCACGATGAAAAGGAGTCAAAATCTCCCAGGTACTCTGGATACAGCTGACCAGTGAACAGCAAGCTGATGGGTGTGATAAGGGCTGCAGAAAGATTCACATTTCTGAAGCACAGCGGTGCTTTAGGAAGAAATAACTCAATACACCAAGGATGTCGTGCATGGAGAAATATCATACATCACTACAAAGCCAGCTGACCCACTGACTTGGCAAATCTGTTATTGTTTCCATACTCCTTGGCAAGGCAGAGGTATGTTAAAACCATTTCCCTCCTACTTAGTCATCTCCTTGTTGGTTCCAGGTCAACACAGACTTCCAACAAATCACATCCCACCGAGCAGAAGAAAGCTGTTAGTTTGAAAAGCACTTTTATGACTAGAAGTAAAAATTCTTGAAGAAAAGCTTTTCATGCAGTACTGACTCTATATACATAGAGAACATAGTACCCTACCATAGTTACATTCTGCTGCTTTAATGAGCAAACCTAACAGCACCTTGAGCACTTTCCAGCCTGAAAAGTATTAATATTTCTTTTTGACTTCTGTATTTCCACTTGTCAATCCCCTTTTCAATCAGAAACAGCAGGCATTACAAAATAGGTCCACAGTAGTTAATTTATTGCCACAGACAGCAGAGCACATGATGATATGGTCTTGTTACCAGTTTTTAGGCCAGAAAGGGTTGCTGTCATCAGCTAAGCGGAACAAGGGAAGACTTTTAAAGTTACACCATCTTAAATCAGACCAGAAGTCTACACTGCTTCCAACATCTGACAATTCAGCAAGCTTCTGGAGAACCTAAAAAGATTTTTATTAAATATACCCAAGTAGAAAAACATTTTGAAGGTTATTTCTGCTGTGGCTTTCTGATGATTTCCCATTTAACCTGCTAGAGCTTTGTAACCTGTTGCTCTCCTAACACAGGTTTCTTTTTGCCTGTTTTCTGTTTGTTTGGGTTTTGGGGGATTGTTGTTGATTTTTGGGGTTTTGGTGTGTGGATACCTTTTTGTGTCCAGGTCCTTCTCACTGCTTTAACTTCACTGTTTCTGCCTCTCCCGTCCTTCAAAACCACTTGTGCTGCCCAAAACTTATTTCAACTGCTCCCAACCTCTCCTCTTGCTACCCTCATTTTTTATGATACTCCTCTTCATAAAATTAATCCAAGACAGTAAAACCTTTGCAGCTTTTCTATTCCTCACTGAATCTGAGTAGACTACAGTTACTTCTGCATATAATAATATACTATTATACACTATATATAATAATTTAATTTACCCTCACTGAGACAACATTGGCTTTAGCTTAAAAAGAACGAGTGTTTTTCAAGCCTCCAGAAATTCTTCTGTGTCCCAAATCAACCCCACAACTTCCCTCATTAAGCACTTCTAAAGCTCTTCGGTAGAAGCTACCCAGGCTGGTCGGCTTCTTAATTAAAGCCTGGCCTCACTGGCCACAGATTAACCATTACTGCCTTCCCTGTTGCCATTTGCACAGGAAGATTCTTTTGCCAGTACCTTCAAGATTCCAAAGTACCACAAGAAACAGAGGAAACAGATGAAATTCCATCCCTAAAGACAGGGTCTTGTTTGTTGACCATTGCTGCTTGCACACGTTTGGAGGCAGCAACTTTGCTATCAGCTGAAATAGTGAGCTCATTTCCAAACATGCTCCATGCAGGAGCACTTTAAAATACCTGCTGAAAAGAAATAATTGCACACCTGTGTGCAGCAGAATAAAAGGTATTAAAATGTTTGCAAACAGATAATGTAATCAGATTTACAGGGCTCTTGTTGACTAAATGCTTTGTTGTAGGTTTTTTGCTGGTTTGTTTTTTGGTTGGTGGGGAGGGTTTGATTGGTTGTTTTTAATAACACCTGAGTTCAGGAACATCAATACACTCAAATTTGAAAAGCCAGGCCGCCTTTAAGAAAAGGGCATATTAGTAGAAGTCAGTGATAAAGAAATTGAAAAATAAAATCACTACTATTCACACAGAAATCTTCAGGTTGAAATCTGGATGACCACATGATCTCTTTTACAGACCAGTTCATTTTCTAAAAATCTCATTGATAAAATACCTTGCAGTAAATTACATATTCCCTCTAAAAAAACCCCAAGAGTTGGCTTTGTCGCCAGTGTATTTTCACTTCCTTTGAACTGTAATGGGGTGACACAATGGCTGGAGGCAAACTGAACAGCTATTGTACGAGCAAAGAACACACTGGTATTGTTGCAAGGAATGTTGGCTGCAACAGCAGATTCTCCCTCTGCTTTGGAGTCGGCACCATGTGATCATTTACTTCTGCATGGGTGACAGATGGGCTGAGGGCTCTCATCTTGTCACACCGTTTCACAGGCAACTTCTCTGAGCCACAGAACTCAAACGTGCTCTCTGTGTGAATAATCCACCTGCACCTCTTAAAGCACTGTGAGGTATTATGGCCTGTGAGATATGTAAATCACCTCCCCTTTTGGTTCTTCCACCACGTGTCTTAAAAAACAAACATCGAGAGGATTCAAGACATTTAGGCTGCTAC